AAACAGGCTGCTCGGTGGTTTCAGCCAAGTCTTTCAATTAACAAGGAAAGATCCTGGATTGGGAATGACACAAAGAGAAGGTTTCAGGTCCTGAGGCTTAATCAGAGCTGAAGGGACCCCGATGGTACAGTCACAATGTTTCACTGGGCAGCACAGCAGGCGCTGAGATAGCAAAGGGGAGGAGAGATGCAGGCCTGGGTTGTGTGAGGCAGTCCGAAGAGTGGGAGAGGGGAGCCAAGCGTGTGAGGGCAGCAGCAGGGCCAACAGCCACCGTGGCCATGGGGACAAGGTGTGGAGGGGCCCAGCTCCCCTGGAAAGGGTGGGACCTTGGGTGGAAGGGACAGGGCCAAGGGCAATCAGCCTTTTGCACCTGAGACGATGCTCCAGGGGCAATTCAAAAGGGCCCAAGGCTCCGGCTGCCATCACAGCCAGAGTAGCAGTGGCCAGGCGCTTTGGGCCTCTTTGAAACACCAGGCCCCAGAGCAAATGCCCCCTTTACTGCCCCCCCCACCCCACCTATTAGTGGGCCTGAGAGGATGATCGAGGCAGAGATCAAGAAATCAAAAAGGGAGGACGGAGAGTAGCAGAGGAGCGGGAGTGGCTGGGGGGACGGGAGCCAGGGAGGGGGGTAGAGCAATGCAGGCGGTGATCACAAACGGTAGACCCAGAGGAAGGGCAGCAGTGCTAGGGACTGTGAGGGGGGAAAGCCAGCACTTGTTGGCTTGGCAGTTCACAGTCCCCACACCTCTGGCCTTGCTACGTCAGTTATGAAAGTAAAAACATGGTCTGAGCCCTGTCACCTCTTTCATTACAAATTAGACATCGCAGGGCAGCACTTGCTCTGCAAGATGTAACTACTTGCTCCTGGCACAAATATGGATCTTTAACCACCTCCCTCCCCCCGCAAACAATGGCCTGTTCCGGAACGTGAACCGTATCGCTTTGCGGCAGACACGGGCTTTCAATATGGAGGGGTTTCCAATTGCTTGGAAATAGCTTTAAATACATGTTTATGGCCATTGTGTTACTTGTGTGGGAGAGAGGCACCAAAATGAGCCTTTATACCAGGGCCACTCAACACGGGGCCTGCGGGGCCACATGCGACCCGTTTCTGTGCGGCCCATGGCACAGTTTGGGTTTACTCGGGGCTCAACACGCAGCTGGGAGCCAAAACAAAAAAGTAGTCTTTTGTTGATACATGTTTTAGGAGTTAAATTCCTGGACTGTCATTGCTCATTAGAAGTGCTGTCATCTGGGTGGACATCAGGTAAATATTGTATTTTATTAATATCTGCAGAACTGACTTAAATGGGGCCTGCATGTTGTATAGTCCTGCCTTCATTTTTTATTCATGCCCGTCAGTGTGAAAGAAGCTATTTTCATATATCTGCATATATATTTGTAGGTACAGGCAGTCCCCGGGTTACGTACAAGATAGGGACTGTAGGTTTGTTCTTAAGTTGAATCTGTATGTAAGTCGGAAGCCCATTACCAATAGCAAGGACTTCCAAAGGGATGTTGTGGAATGTGCCTCCTCCTTCACACCTCACCTATTTCCAGCACGTGGTTCTATCAAAAATCAGTAATTATGCCCCAGGGCACGGTGCACAGTGTTAACTGTCCACTGTGTCCCTGTGAAAGGGGGTCACATGTTCCTGTTTCTCTTTATTCGCACCAGTAAAATTACAAATGTTAAGAAAAATCAAATAGCACAACCTAACCCATGCACATCCCCTCATACCACACCAGCCTGCCTGCTAGCCTTCACAGACAAAGGGAGGACGGAGAGTAGCAGAGGAGCGGGAGTGGCTGGGAGAACGGGAGCCAGGGAAGGGGTTAGGAGTGAGCAATGCAGGCGGTGATCACAAACGGTAGACCCAGAGGAAGGGCAGCAGTGCTAGGGACTGTGAGGGGGGAAAGCCAGCACTTGTTGGCTTGGCAGTTCTCAGTCCCCACACCTCTGGCCTTGCTACGTCAGTTATGAAAGTAAAAACATGGTCTGAGCCCTGTCACCTCTTTCATTACAAATTAGACATCGCAGGGCAGCATTTGCTCTGCAAGATGTAACTACTTGCTCCTTGCACAAATATGGATCTTTAACCACCTCCCTCCCCCCCCCAAACAATGGTCTGTTCCGGAGCGTGAACCGTATCGCTTTGCGGCAGACACGGGCTTTCAATATGGAGGGGTTTCCAATTGCTTGGAAATAGCTTTAAATACATGTTTATGGCCATTGTGTTACTTGTGTGGGAGAGAGGCATCAAAATGGGCCTTTATACCAGGGCCACTCAACACGGGGCGTGCGGGGCCACCTGCGACCCCTTTGTGTGCGGCCCACGGCGCAGTTTGGGTTTACTCGGGGCTCAACACGCAGCTGGGAGCCAAAACAAAAAAGTAGTCTTTTGTTGATACATGTTTTAGGAGTTAAATTCCTGGACTGTCATTGCTCATTAGAAGTGCTGTCATCTGGGTGGACATCAGGTAAATATTGTATTTTATTAATATCTGCAGAACTGACTTAAATGGGGCCTGCATGTTGTATAGTCCTGCCTTCATTTTTTTATTCATGCCCGTCAGCGTGAAAGAAGCTATTTGCATATATCTGCATATATATTTGTAGGTCTATGCAATCACACTTAAGTTGTGGCCCTCGGCATGTGAGTATCACTGTGCCCCCCACAGTGTCTAAAGTTGAGTAGCTCTGCTTTATGCTCTTTTGGAAGAAAACCTAAACTCATTTTATGAACAGTAATCCCATTTAAGCCGATGATTTTTTTTTTACTTGCTAAAGGATTGCAGGATGATGTCTAAGCAAAGCATGTGACACATTTCTGCAACTATCTTAAGTAATCCAATCCAAAGGGCAGTTTTCACACTGGAGCACACCAAAGCAAAAGGAAATTCCCTGACTATATTTGCCATCGGTGGAGTTTCATTAGAAGTGGTTTCTGTAGCAATGCCTTAGCTGGATTGTTAGTTTTGCAACACTAGCTGGGTGTGAAGGGTGCCGGAGTTTCTGCTACAGTGGGTATGCACTTCCTGAGTGAGGCCAGGAGGAATTCTGGCTAAGGTGTCAAGAATTTCTGCAGCTCTAACCCATCGCTGGGGTGTTCTTTGGGGACAGAGGGGGGACCAGAACCCAGCCCTAAAGGCTTTTGAAGGTCTATCAGGAAGCCAAGTAGCTATAGTAAAGCAAATCCATCAACTACCTGACCGAGAAAATATTCTTCACAGCAAAGGGCCGGTAATTAATCTCACAGCACTTTGGGCTCAGTCGCCAGGAAGGAAAGATGTGTGGTACACTGCCCTCAGGAAGAGCTCCCAGCTGTGCAAGGGCAGGTAGGAGGAGCCTCCCTGCTCACTCTTCATCCTTCCTTACCCATTAGTTTGTGGGTGAGACTCTCAGGAGTATAGTCCTTACTCTTCCCCCTGCATCCAGAGCCACTACGGAGGCAGCACTACTACAGAAGGCATTGGCCGTTCTTACATCCCTCTGCGCCCCTGCCTGGCTGCATGAGAGGTAGGGATTATCTGCCACTTCAGACTCCAATGAACTCCAACATCGCTGCCTTTGATCTCCTTGCACTGATAAGAGGAATGATGGCTTAGAGACGCAAAGGCACAACCCAATTAGGAACTGAAGACAAAACTCTCATGCAGCCAGGCAGGGGCGCAGAGGGATGTAAGAACGGCCAATGCCTTCTGTAGTAGTGCTGCCTCCGTAGTGGCTCTGGATGCAGGGGGAAGAGTAAGGACTATACTCCTGAGAGTCTCACCCACAAACTAATGGGTAAGGAAGGATGAAGAGTGGTGCGTCCTGAACTCTCACTCACTAAAGCCAGCAGCCACATTCTGCTCCAGCTGACGCTACTGGTGTCACTCTGCCTCTCCCAGATTACTGTGTTCAATCATGGCCATGGCTAAAGTATGTTACTCGATTGTCAGGGCTGGTCCACAACATTTTGGCACCTGAGGTGGGGAGCTCAAATGATGCCCCCATGCTTCCTCGCTTGGGCCAGAACTTTGAAAGGTCTCAATTCTGCCTTCTTTGGCTACGTCTACACTGGCCCCTTTTCCGAAAGGGGCATGCTAATTTTAAACTTCAGAATAGGGAAATCCGCGGGGGATTTAAATATCCCCCGCGGGATTTAAATAAAGATGTCCGCCGCTTTTTTCCGGCTTGTAGATAAGCCGGAAAAAAGCATCTAGACTGGCCCGATCCTCCGGAATAAAGCCCTATTCCGGAGGATCTCTTATTC